AGTTTACCCTGCCTGCGATGAGGTCTACCCTGGAGTTTACCCTGCCTGCGATGAGGTCTACCCTGGAGTTTACCCTGCCTGCTCCACGTTGCCACCATCTGGCTCTTCATCAGTAGATACCTAGCTACTGAAATGGCTTCTGCTTGACGCCGGGAAAAATGTGAAGACAGAAAAAAATGACAGAATCTCTGAGAGAGATATAACGGTGATTTTCCAGGTACGACCATTGAAGCACACAGCATGAGGTTTGGAGCAGAAGGGTGATGTCACCCTGCCCATCAGGCCCGTGTTCTCACTGGTCCGTCCGGAGCAGAAGGGTGATGTCACCCTGGCCATCATGTTCTCGATGGTTGGCTTGAAGCAGAAGGTTGACATCATCCTGGGTATCACAGCAGTGTTCCCATTGGTCAGCTCGTAGAAGGAGGTTGATGTCATCCTGGACATCAGAGCAGTGTTCCCATTGGTCGGCTCGTAGAAGGAAGTTGATATCATCCTGGGCATCAGAGCAGTGTTCCCATTGGTCAGTTTGAAGCAGGCGCTTGATGTATGTATGTAGATGCTGCTGACCTTACACAGCCTTAATGCACCGGATCAATAACACAGGCTTTGCTCTGTGCTCTGCTCCAATTAAGGGTGCAAATGACAGGAGGGGTGGAGGAAAAAAATATGTATATTGTTTAATGACAAGATATTTGCAGAAGGCTAACGTCTCACAATGTGATCTGTGACTGGGTTACAGCTCAGTTTGGCTCTTACGAAAAGCACAATAAAAGCAAAAAGGAAATGCTACATGATGAGAGCTGTCTGTAAGCAAGCTCAGGCCATTGCTGTGCACTCATTATTTACTCTCTCAGAGTGGGTTTAGCACAGGCGAACTCTCCATTACAGCTGATTTAATTCCGCTGATTGCACCGTTGGTTGGTCGGGGAAGAATGAAACGCAGGAAGGGTGAATCTAAGAAAGCAAATCGAAAGGGAATTAGGATAAATGAGGCCAGAGACTGTGAGTGAGGTGTCAGCACAGGTAAGCAATTGAAAAAAAGACAGGGTCAGTAGTGACATTCATTCATTCGTGCCACTTATTCAGTGTTAGGTCACAGTGAGGCTGGAGTTTCTCCCAGGACCCATGAGGCACCCTGGACTGGACCCTACGCATGGCACACACATGCTCTGAGCAGTTTATACACACAAGAACACGTAAACTGTGTTTTTGGGCCACGGAGTAAACCCACACACACGAAAGGAGAGCATGCAAACTCCATGCACAAATGCCACTATTCCGCTGCCACCAAGAACCAAGCCACCAAGAACCAAGACACCAAGAACCAAGACACCAAGAACCAAGACACCAAGCCGTACCCAAGCAGTACCATGGACTGACCATTTTCCTCTGTAAATAATCCAAGCTGCAGTCGATTCGTACCCGAGCTAACATGGGCCCTGCTGGTAGCGTGACCAAATCCAGCTGGTTGTGTCACCACCATCTTATTGGTCAAAATGCACAGAGATACCAGTGTTCTCTGTCCCATGTATGGATTGTCTGAAGGAAAAAAATGGCATATTCTACATACAGTATTACCCATTATTAGTAGTTTCACACATCGTCAAGTATTGATGCATTCACCATACCTCAGAACCTGAAAATTTCCAACCACCTACTGTAGAACATCTGAACAGAATGGATCCGCAATGCAAAATTACGCGAGAAAATGCTAATTCCACTAGCATTTAATGTTAACATACCGTAAGAGGGCAATTCTCACAGACGTGCTAGAAAATTAGGAAATTAACACACACCATGTGAACAGTAAATAAGCGCCTCTTCGGAATTACATCACTGTCACTCTGCAAATCTGGCAACTCCTTCTGCAGCTGAAAACCAAAGCAAGCTGGCACCGTGCTGTAACTAGTCCCTCTTCGTAGTACGGCTCGGTTCCTGCATACCAGTGGAAAAGGGCCAAAAGCCAGAGGGGTCAGTTTCGAACCCCCAACCCTGGAGAGGGTGCTACAGTGCTCCCCACTTTACCATCATGCTGCCTATAATACGAGATGTAGCTGCATGACAGTCCTGCCGTCCACCCTACACATGAAGCGGGAATCTTTGCTCTATGTCCTTGAAGACGGCATGGCCCCTACACAAACAGCCAAAAACGTGTCACTGGGCCTACTCATAATTGAGGTAATTGAGACAAAAAGTAATTAGCTTAATGAGTCCAAATGAGGTTGGACTGGACCCAGCATCACTCAGCAGGAAAGTAGGACACATCTTCTGTAGAACTAGCAGATATCCAGGTTGTCAGGAAAGGACAATTGCATCCTTTAACTACAGTACCTTAAGAAATTCATAATATGTAGTCTGGGTAGGACATGACCTACACACACATACACTCTATATATAAGTAAACCACCTAGTCCCTGCAGATAACCGTTTGTTCCCCCTCTTCCCCCCCCAAAAAAAAAATAACTAATAATCCCCTTCTGGTAATGCTATTGCCCCCCCCCCCATGAATATCTTAGGCCCTACTGTCAGATTGCTAACTTTGAGCATTTTAGAACCTTGAACTATTAGCATTGTAGCACCTCTGAAAAGACTTATCTTTCTATTTTAAAAGTCCTACCCAGGAGGAAGAAAGACATGCAAGTAAAACACACCAAGGTAGAGAAAGATTCTACTCTGTTGTACTTATGCATGATTTTATGTCATTTTTAGTGTAGGCCTTGCCGTCTTGAAAACTAGTTTTACTTCTGCCACTAAATGGAGAAACTTGAATATAATCTTATTCCAAAGAAGCCCAAAATAGCCTCACATAATTGTGCAGTTGTATGGCAAGGATTTTCTAGTTTGTTCTGCCACCGTGAGAAAGAGATTTATTTTAAAAAAAAACCTTATTCTAACAGATCTGAGAGTGGCCTGCTAGCAGTCACCTAGAGCAACTGAAGACCAGGCACAGCAAGTGGGCACTAATGAGGCCTCACGCCTAGGTGTAGCGGTACACCACAAACCGGCTGCTCGGGAACTCAGAAGACAGAAGGACTCCCATCGTCCGCATGCAAGACTGAACACAGGGCAAACTGTCCAAAGCGATGAGGTCCTCCTGCGAGAGGATTACAGGAGCTCTCCTTTCAGCAGACCAGATTTCTGGTGGCTAAACACGACACTGTCAGACAAAAAAAAAAAAAAACAGACAGCTCCTAAAAAATCCTGGCAAAGTTATTTGTTACCGGTCAAACGGCAGACATCAAGTGACCACAGTGTTGGGCATTTTAGGTCCAGAAGCTACAAATCCAGGCCAAGATTTAGTTTCTACCAACCAGTTGAGTATAAAGAGTCGCAGCAGTACTAAGCTGGTTGGTAGAAACAAAATCTTAGTCTAGATTTGTAGCTCCTGGACCTGAAATGCAGAACACGGAGTAACCAGTAGGGGTCCTCACCACGTCAGTGTCACCAGGGTGGTGTCATGGTTCAAGGATTGGTTGCCTGCTCAGAAGGTGGCTGGTTCAAATTCCACTCCAAGGTTCTGCTGATGTATCCTTCAACAAGATTTTTGACCATAGCTCTGACAACACATCTGACTTTGCAAGTTTGTGAAGATGTACTGGATATTCGCTATCTGCCTTGTGAAGCATGTTATCGATGCATAAACAACCGAAAAATGGTTAGGAACTCAGGAGAAGACTGATCAGACTGCATTGGGATCTTTACAGGTCAGAGGACCCAAATGACGAGCAATAATTGGGTCCAGATACACTCTCCATGTGAGGATTATTACAGTCAGACTGAACATCTATGTGCTTTGGTCAAATATGAACCGAAGGTAGTGTTCGGAATTTGTCGATAAACGTAAATCATAATAACTATGCCACCCTAAACTACATAATAGACATGCAGGATTTACTCCAGCTCTGTGAGGAGAACAAGCATAAAAAGATATGCTTACTTTCCAGATGGTTCTTCTCATTGAGGTTGGTGTTGACCAGCTTTGGCATTACTGCCTGTCGCACCTCCTCCGGTGCCCATAGGTCAGCTGCACGGTTGTCAGCCAGATAGCAACATTTGGCACCTTTAACCCCAGAACATCTCCGGGTGGCGGAGTGGCAGGGATGCCTCCCTGCTAACCCCTGCTGCTGGACCTTGGGTTAGGTGTTATCTCCACACCTCTTCTCCTTTCTCCTCAACCAGGGTCCTTCAGGCCCCTCCGCAAGCTTGCTCCAGACACCCCCATGTCCCTCAGTAGGCCAACGGCTGAATTTTGTACTGACAAAGCCATGGGTACTTCTACCGGGTAGATGATGGTTCTCAACCCAGCCTCCTTGCACTCAGCGCCGAGATCTGAGTACTTCAGAAAAGTGGACTACATACTTTTTCAAATAAGCACCGAAGTGTAATTAGACACCTATTGTGTAAAAAGAAATAGACTGTGTGTTTTCAGGGCAGGAATGATGAATTGAAACAGCCCTATACATGACATTATGCCTTTCGCATTGGGATTAAAGCACGTACAGAGATAGGAGCCTTGCTGTTAATTCAATTGGACTTGGCCTTAAGTCATGCCACATTATAACCACGACTGGCGAACATCATAGCATCGCTATCGGAAACTGCGAATGCCGTACCCTTGGCAGAATGATGTCATTTGGAGCTCATTAACATAACTCAGAGTAATGAGAACCTCCATCTTTGTTCCAGCAGATAATTTTTGTCCCCGAGTTGTCCATTATGGAACAGCAACGTATGGCATCGCCGAGGTACAACAGAAAGTCGGGGTTTTCACATGCCGTCATCCAGAGAGATGAAGATACCGAGCTTAACAGGAAGCTTCTGAACGACCAGCTGCACCTGACATCCAGCCATGTCGAAGCTGTTATAAGGACCAGGCTTGGAAGCAGAAGATAGAAAGCCGTCCACTGCAGCCAATCGAGTGGTTCTGAGGAGGCAGGGCATAGTCAGCCGGCCAATAGAAAGAGAGAACACGCTCCATTATCTCGCCACATGTAATGCGCCCATCCTGCATGCCTCCATACACTGCAGTGCATTCCCCTGTTTAAACAGCCGAAAATTCACAGGAACGATCCTGCTGAGGCTCGGTACTCAGCTGGTGTCACTTGGTGGGGAAATACATTTTGGGCAAGAGTCAAAACTTCTTTAACGAACACTTTATAGTCCGTGGGAAAAGCACTGTTAGAGCTCAACATTTTGTGTTTTTTATATATCATTTTTTGTTTATGAGTTTTATGAGTCATTGGCTGAAAAGGGGTATAAGAAAAACCAGTTCCACCCCCAGACCCCTTAGATTCAATGACGTTCCTGCTGCCAGTAGTTTTCTTTTGTTTTATTTTGCGTTGCTTCGATTAATGCCACTGACACGGCCATAACACATTAAGATGTCTTTCAAATGTGTCTAGTTAATTTATGTAATTATCTACTTATTGAGTTATTGATAGTACTTAAAGGCAATTGACGGTTCTCTTTATATACTCGCCATGGAGAAACATCCAGGTATGTTGCTAAGAGATAAATTAAAGACATTTAAAAGAGATCGTCCAGGGTACGGATTAGAGCACAGTGTTTTGGTTTTCAAACAGCTGCCATTGCTAAAGACCGTACAAATTTAAATGCAATAATTACAGGCAAATGGGCCTAATGAGGGAATTAGAGAGTCAAAGAAACTGGGAAGTATGGGGCTTTATTCTGCCAAGGACCGGTGACAGCAGCACTCAAACTGGGCCGAATCCTCCTCAGTCTTTGCTATAATATTTCACCACCCATGAGAAAACAATAAGCTCAGGACAAGAAGAAACATACAGAAATAATCATAGAGTTGGGATAAAAACTCTATATACCACTGTGAATCCCCCAGCCATCAAGAAATACATATTTATGAACTGTAATGATTTCAGCATCTCAATAAAGATGCATTACATATTCACAGAGTGGGAATCTGGGCTCGTCTCATA